CATGATAGCCTCCATTTCATTCTGGCTATCCCTCGTATTTTGTGCAAATGTCTCATCCCCTGTAAGTATGTAATCAAATATGCAAGCATCATTTTGATTGCCACAAAACTCTACAGCTCTGGACAAGTCAGCAGGATTAAATTCATCTCTGAATATTGGTTCCATATTTTGGCATGCAATTCTGCTGACATTTTCATCTACAAAGTTGAAAATGGAGTCAGCTGGCGAAACATCTGTATCAAATAATAAATATATATTGTTTGTTAGCTTTGGAATGGAAGAGTTAACGTAATTAGAATTTAACATTTTTAAACATTTAAATAAGAAATGAAAAAAATTTGAAATGATTCTTCACATTGCATAAATTGATTTATTTTAATTACCGGTACCTGAAGATATTTAAAAGATTATACATTTTAAAAAATTATTTCTTTAGTGAATACAAATTAAAAATCTTTCAGTAATTTCAAATGTACAGAGTTGTAAAATATTTTCAAGATGTAATAATTATAAATACTCTACTCGAAGCTATTGTTCCCAACCATTTAAAGTCCCTGTTGTAAAGTAATTTGTAACTATACGACTTCTTGAAAAATGATTTGTTTGGGCATGTCTTTTCTAAATATAATAAATAGCTATAAGATATATTGATCCAAGCAAATGATTTTGGTCAAAAAAGTTTAAACTTTTTCCAAAAGTCTGAATTCATAAAAAAAATAAAAAAATTCTTTCTTAAATATCACATAAATTTAAAGGAAAAGGACTAAACAACTTGCTTTACAATTATCTTAATTTAGGCCTACTTTTAATATGGAGAAAAAAAACACCAAAATATGAAACTAAATACATGAAATCTCTATGCCATAATTTGGCTCTGCGAATCAGACAAATCTTCCAAAAATAAGTATAAAAGAATATTTAAAAATCTGCTATAGTTTGATAAAAACTTATTTCATTGCAGATAAACCTTTTAAAATTGATCATTGGCATTGGAAAAAAAAGTAAAATGTTTTTTCCGAAACATAATAGAATCCCACGACACCATATACTACTTGAGGGGGGAACTAAAACTTTGAATAATACTCATAGGTTATTTAATGAAACTTAGAATTCTCACATGTTTTGGCAAACAGGTAAAAAATCTGCCTCTCTGTTAGATTTTGGGACAGCACTGTGCCATCTTGTAACTGGAACTCATCATTTTTGTTCATGTTAAAGTTTCCTAGAAGACCTCTGGTCCTGTCCTGTAGGGATTTGTCCACTTCCATTTCCAGCTTCAAACTTTTTACACCCAAACTATCTTTGATGGATACACCTGGGATGTTCAGAGATTAAATAATGATAGTCTAAACTTAGATTTAAATAAATGGAGGTAAAACGATTTAAAAAATAAATATCAATCATCCTAGTCTGTGAGGTAAAATTTAACGAAATAAATGCAAACATTTGCTAGAATAATGCCTATACTCTGTTCATCCACTTAAAGTGTGTTAAATGAGAATTAAGTTTCTGATGAGA